GAAAAAATATATTAAACGTTTAAGACATGCCCCCTGCTTTATGTTTTCCATTGTGTGAAACGTGTGTATTAATTCATTGCATGCATAGTTTGTATTTCAGAATAAATCGTAATCTAATGTTTCTACCAACGAAAAAAATCCCATATATATTTCAACATGCTTAAAATAACGTTGCTTCATATTCAAAGAAGCGCCACCCTCTACACCTGGTACAATTATGCATGTGATCGAGCATTGCATTATACTGCTTACTAAATAACACTCTCGCACCAGACTTCTTGCTATCCATCAAATGCAAACAATTATATTCTCGGCTTCGGAAACACCTCTTTTTCTAACTGCCAGTCAACTTTCAAGCTTTCAGACAGATTAGCAGCCACTGAATGCAACCTCTCTGCAGACGGCGTTCTCACCATACAACAAATTCACTTTACTGATGACAATTTTCCACGTCAACTATCGTGTCAGCAAGTTATCCACCACCTCAATACACCATTTCTATAAAGCGCGATCTCGACTGACAGATTTCTTGATATGTCAAGATGTATATAGGTGTAATCAATGTAGTTCGAATCAACTAGTTTAGTTCTTTAGTAGTTTGTTATCTACAATATGGTAACTTTCTTCAAATATAAAATCTCCATTGACGGACTACTGATCAAAACAATACCTATGGTTTGAACAGCACCCATTCACATCATAGGCATGTCAAATTTTTCTTCACTGAAGACTGTGTTGATGTAGTAAATATTGTGATTTCTCAGATAATTTGTGCTCTTCTAGTAAAACTGAATGAGGTTGGCACATCGCTTCATGATTTTTACCTTCTCCATTCGATTTTGGAATACATTCCAGGCAACATTCATTTTAATACAGCTCTATGAATTCCAAACCAAATGCGATGCCAATTTTCTGGACTTCAAACAAATTCATTCCATTTTTTCAAATCATTTTCATGCTCTTGTAAACAATTTCTCTAACCTATCTAAAACTTCACTGCCAATCAACTGTTCTCCCTTTGAAGCAAATTCGCCCTGCTCTAGTTGAAACAACTTTCATGGCTTCAGCAACTAGTTATTTGCAGTGGTGTTGTGTGAATGTACAAATAAACATGAATGGTATACATCCAGAGAAAAAGGATGTCGGTGCTGAATCTTATTCTCAAGCTTATGATGGCTAATGCGATCTAAGTAACCTTTAAAAACTCACGACCTAAGTGGGTATTCATCAGCATCCACCCCCACAGCAGGCAATCTGTATATAGTCAGTGTGAGCCTTCAACAACGCCCTTCCCTCCCATGGCTAGTCCAACTACTACTAAGCATACAACCAGAATAAGCCCTCGACGCCACCAATTCCTTGCATGGATAGTCACATTTTCACCAAACATACAATAAGCCCTCAAGACCATCAATCCCTTGCATGATAGTCACACATTCACCAAGCATACAACTAGA